AGGTTAAAGAGTATCAATAAAAATATTGCGTTGTTATTTTATGTGATGATGCATAATAGGTTAAAGGTTATGTTGTATTAACCAACCTAGTCTAAACTGGAGATATTAACAGAAAAACACACATAGACAAATCTTTTAAAACAGTTTATTTTTTACATATGCTAAATATTACAAACTGATATATTTATAATTATAAATTAAAAAGGTCCAGGTATGTTACGTAAATATGCAGCTTGACGATTATCAATGTGCTGTTTTACTGCAGCTTTCACATATTCAGGTACATCAGATTTGTTGGTAAGCCTTTTCAAATTGGCGCCTGTTAATTTCCCAGGATTGTCAAATGCTGACAACAATCTACCACACTCATAATTGAATGCTGGACATTTTTTAAATCCACGCCATTTACGAATCTCGTCTGATACATCTTGCAGAATACTTGTATTTACCGTTCTTATTAATATTTTTTTTATTAATAGAATTTTTCACGCTCTCTATCTGTCTTAACTATTATGGATACTAAAGTAAAATAATATAATCTTTACATTTGTAAACATAATCTGTAAAGATAATATAATCTTTACATATGGATTTGTTTTGATTTAGATACATGTTCTAAATCTGAGTATCCTGTAAACAACTTATTATTCATATCGTGTTATATATTTTTTCTTTGTTTTAAAATATATATATTAATGCATAAAATTCTATGCTGCATTATAGTCAATCTTGCTCTAAGATGAATACTCCTTCGATATTTATTTTTGAAAGCCTAGAAAAGAAGAGACTGCTGGTTGTTTTTTTGAAAAATTTATTTAGGTAAGTCTATTGTTTTTTTCTATAAATTTATTTTCATAGTAGTTGTTTTTTGTATTTTTTTACTTATTCATTTATTGTTTTTCTATAAATATTTTTTTTTGTTATATCTTTAGATATGGGTTGAAAAAGGTAAAAGTGGTTAATGGAAGAGTACATTTATATCTATCGTATTCACCAAAAAATGCAACAGTTGAAGCAAAAATAAAAAATTTACCGCTGCAGTATATCAAGGTGGTAGCAGAAGATGAAACAGAATTACAACTTTTCCTACAAGGCATGAAAGAATTTTGCAATGTAAATTTTTACCCTTCTATTGAGGAAGAGAATACAACAAGTCAAATAGAGCCTTCACACCATCACCACCACCCTGATGAAGTGCAGGAGCCCAAACATAAGAAGATACAAATTTTGGAGAACAGAATGGTTTACCCAACATCTTCACAACAACAACAACAACAATTAATAGAGGTTTACGATGAAGATGCTGACGACTACGAGGGACAGAAATACACCGTTTTATCACTATAGTAGTCTATTCTTTATATTATTATAGTCTATCTATATTTTAATAAATAAAATACATTATTATTATTATTTTCAATGTTTTATTTAAAAGTTTTGCTTTTTACAATAAGTATACCAATAAAATAGGAAATATGCATTTTCAACTGCACAATACAAAGAACTATTTAAATGTTTTAAACAATGATAAGATTTGAATACATTTTTTAATTGATCAAATGATTGACATCTCTATATGCAAATCAATTATTTCATTATCTATAAATTTTTCCAACCATTGCTTCTTTTCTGCTCCTTTAACAGCAACAACTTCAGAACATACATGTTTTTTAATAAAATTTGAAATATCTTCATATGGTAAATATTTTCCTTCTTCTTCTTCATATAAAATATCAAATTCTAAGCCATGTAAATTGCAAGTTAACCATTCCATATGATTTCTCACTTTTGAATTGTATTGTTTCAATTCAAATGGATAACTTATAAATTTATGTGCTGCCAAATGTCCATTGTCGTCAACGTTGACTATCGCTAATTCTTTACAAATAAAATTTCTCGGTCCATACTGAAAGCCTTGTACATCAATAATAAACATTTTCAATAGCGATGTAATATGTCTATTTGCTTCGACTGACTACGAGCGACTGAATATTTGAATTATTAGAGTACTCTTATGGTACTAGTTAATGGGTTGTACTTTACTAATTTATCATGTAAAATTAGACAATATGCAGTAGTCTTGGCAGGGATTGCTTTTCTTGTTTCAAACTCAATACGAATATCGATTGCACCACCCTTTAAAATATCCTCTCCTTGACAATAACCACCAGAGGGGCATTGTTCTTGAACAGAATGGGATAGTAGGTTGGTTCACTAAACGCTTTATAGTAGTATGATTTTTGGAACTGAGTATACATTTCTATAGGACTGCATATATATTATTAGTAAAATCTATATTTAAATTGTCATAAGGATATACTTCTGAGTTTAAATATACTTTTAAATTGGTCAAGTTGCAGTGTTGAAATCGACTCATATTTTTGTTATTTGATTTTTACATCTGTTTGAAATCCAATAATAATATAACAAGGTTTTCCAACTGATTACTCGATTTAACAGCCCATGTATGGTTTTAGTTTGTTGCAATTCTGGATATTCATGCAGTTCCCAACTCTAAAGGCAATCGGTAAATCTCTGTTGTTTTCAAAATTTTTTAGTAATCGTATTTTTGACTAGCATTAACTGATATATGAGGCATTTTTCCACAACAGTTTGTTCAAAGTGATCTTATAGTTATCCTTTGTTTCATTAGCTGAATGAATGGCATTAAAATCAGAATTATATCGTATGAGGACTAGTTCTTGTTTTACATTCATTACAATTTTATGATAGTCTTCAGCCAAAACCCATTAGCATTTTCAATGGTATACATACATTAAAATTTCCATTACCATCGATTAATGATGGATTCTTCGTATCATGCCATCCAGCGTTATGTAAACCGTTATGCCAAACCAAACCAAACTCCAGGGATTTCTAACTCTATCAACAATCACTCCTCCCATATCATAACGAATTTCATCAAACAGAAAAGCAACACCATTATTCACAAATTGTACATCAGCACTTACTGTGTTGTCAGATTTTGTTAATTTTCCTTCAATATAGAGGTAACTTTGACTAGGTAGAGTATACAGATCTTGGGTTTGTATTGGGATTCTAATTTCATCGTTGTTGTTCAAGGTTGTAGATGAATAGGGTTGGTGAGTGTGATACTGATAGCTCACTATTGAATCATCTTGTGTAACACTTTCATTAACTTTTAAGATGTTATAACTCATCTTTACTGGTACACTTGAATTTACAATTACAAAAAACTAAAAAATCAGTTAAACTAGTTCTAAGATGTAGCTTCAAGTTTATCCAAAATTTCCGAACTTTCTTAATTTTGAAGTGGGCACTTCTTTTTCAATTTAAATCCTAATGATTGTAGAAATTCTTGATTGGAACGTTTTAACTCTTTTAAGTAATTCTTACTACTGAACCGTCTCTGAAAACTCTTTTGTTTTATATACATTTCATTGGACGGTGTATAAGAATCATTATTATAGATAAATACCATTATGTTTCTTTAGTTGTAAACGTACTGTTACCAGCTCGTTTCTAAAATTGATCAGTCTTCCATCTTGATCTGTTATTTTAAGAATCATTTCATCAACATAGCGCATGCTGATTGGTAAATATATTACATTTGATGGTTTTTCAATGATTTTAAATCCTGGAGGGGTGGTAGGATAGAACATATAAATGATATGAACCGGTTTTCCATTGTTATATGAATTTGTTACAAGTTTACATTCTATCGCTATGCAATTCACTTTAAAAATATCAACAGGGTTCCTTGAAATGTGTATCTGGTTCTCTTTTAATATTTGGTTACTAAAGCCCAATAGACTTCCAATGGAGTTTTCCTTTGAAAAATCAACAGATTTATTACATTTAAGTTCACACTGTAATGTATTATGATTTGCCTGTATAGAAATATCCACTTTCTCTTCTTTTGAATGCTGCTTAAACCATTCTTGCAAATAACGATTTATATCTTGAATTTTATCCGGTAAACCGGTTTTAATCTTGACAATATGCCAGGAGCTGGAACTCATTGGAGTTCCAGCTCCTGGCATATTGTCAAGATTAACTATTCCAGATTCAAATTTATGAATTTTTTGTGGTAGACAATCCTTCATAAACACATCTCGAAAATATACCACTTTCAATTTTTTAGCATATGTTGTTAATTCGAAATTATTAAGAGCATGTTAGGTAATGCTAAGGTTGGTTTTTTTGATTTGAAACCTCGATGTAAAAAAAGTCCCAGTCCAGTCTTGTATGGTGTTAAGTACAATCCTTTTCCCATTGCAACAGCTTCCTTTGTTTTGTTGTAACGTTGTGCTTCGCTGAGTTGTTCTTTTGCTGCCTTAGTTTCCTTTACGGCTTTTACAACATTTGCGATTCCACCGCTTAGAGCACCTAATGCAATAAGACCAGCAAAAATTGGTATTAATGGTAGAATACCTCCAGTTTTATGAATTTTTATAACATGTGGTGGTCTTAATAATGTCTCCATTGTTTCTAGTGGTAGCGGTTTTTAATCCTATTTTTAAGGCACTTTCAAGATTTGTAGGTTGTTGTTTCCGTATAACCCTTTTAATAGCACTCGTTACCGATTGAAAAGATTTACTAAGTGTAACTATTTATTACCATTTTTGTTTTTCTGCTGTCTTCTCTTTTTTATAACCTTCCTACTTTTAGATTTTATAGACTTAATTTTAGGTTTTTTTATTGTTTCACTCTTCGTTGACTGTGTCATCTTGCTGCTATTTTTCAATTAAGTTAGTAATAGATTTGTAACACTTTATATATTATGTAAGTTTGTAGCACTTTATATATATTTAGATCTTTTAACATAATCATTCTCATCATTATCATGAACTATTGTATCATATGAACGTTTTAAACTTATTCTCTTTGCTTTTTTATTAGTATTTTGATTTACATCATCATCAGTATCATTTAATTGTCTTTTGGTACCTTGTATGGATAGGGTTGAGAATAAATGATTTTCACTTTGTGAATCTTAGGTTTTTGTCTATTTATATTTAAATCCATTTCATGATCATCATCCTCGAAAATTCTACGTTTTTTACCTTTTTTATAATTTCAGTCAACGGTTCTTGCTTTTTTTCTTTACTTTGTACATGATTGCTTCTCTTAATTTTGTGTTGAATTTTCTTTTCATGATAATTATAAATAGGAAGCTGTTGGTTTTTATTTAAATCATCAACATTGCCATCTTCATTATCATAACACTTACTCTTTTTTATTTCAAATTTACGATTTTTACTATCTAATTTCACTCGAAGAACTTTATCTTTACAGCTTTTATTCTTTTGTTTACTTTGTTTTTTTGTAATTGTATTTTTAGTCTTTTGCTGTAACAATTTTCGATGTTTATCTTTCAATAGTTCAATTTTTTTCAAATAAACTTGCATATATTTTATAATTTGCTCTATTATCTTTGAACTCTGTTGATGTTCAGATTTGAATGAACAAATTTTATTTTTATTTGTCAATTTATTCAATCCCATACCCAACTTTAACTTGGTGTGCATTGCAGTTGAAACACCTAATGCTGCTAGTTTTTCTTTCCATAAAGCATCGTTTGAAGTAGTTCTACTTAGAGCTGCTTTTAGTAATGTTTTATCAGCCTCATGACGATCAGATAAATCATTTCTCTCTGAATATGCTATATCATGTTCTTTACACGCCTCATCTAACATGTTAACACCTTTGTCACCGCGTTCTAAACGTTCATTTAATTTAGGTCCTGGTCCACAGTAATTATATACCGGTAAATGTAACTCAAATGGTAATTTGTTTACTAAAGTGTTTATAACACCACTACCAGTATGTTGCTGCTGCTTTATATAATATTTCATGATTGCTTTCTAATCTCAAACTAAGTATAAATTATATAATGATCAATTTTTATAACCATTTTTTAGTAAACTTTGTAATCATGAAGAAGGTTGTTAAGCAAAAGACTACTTTGAAGATTGATAATCATGATATGGTTACAAGCGAACCTTTGAAACATAGCATTTTATTTCCTTCGACTATGCGATGTGTTATAACAGGACCATCCAACTGTGGTAAAACCAACACTATGGTTAGTCTCTTGGAACATCCTAATGGTTTGAAATTTGAGAATGTAATTCTCTATTCGAAATCGCTATATCAACCCAAATATATATACTTGGAAGATCTTTTAAAACCAATTAAAGGAATGGAATATTACGCTTACGATAGTAGTGAAAATATAATTCCACCATCTGAAGCGAAACCAAATTCAATATTTATATTTGATGATGTTGCCTGTGATAATCAAAACATAATAAGAGAATATTTTAGTATGGGACGACACAACAACGTTGACTGTTTTTACTTATGTCAGACGTATACAAAAATACCAAAACACTTGTTAAGAGATAACGCTAATGTATTAATAATCTTCAAACAAGATGATTTAAATCTAAAACACATTTATACAGATCATGTAGGTACTGATATGTCTTTCGACAATTTTAAACATACATATGGCTACTGTTGGAGGAAACCTTTTGGTTTCCTCTCAATTTTCAAAGATAACAACATTAATAGTGGGCGTTACCGTCATTATTTTGATAGTTATATATACATTTAGTAAAGTTTAAATATTATTATAATACAAGTCGTTCAATCAAAATGATGGCTCAAAAACAAGAGAAATCTGTTGAACAAAAGTTGATTAATAAAAGAAGAGATATTCGTAAAAAATAAATATTTTAAAACATGGTCAAACGGTTCATGAGAATCTGTTTCAACCTATAACAAAACATTTGCAACAAATTGAAAGTAAATTGGAACCTATTTCAATCAAAGAGATATCAAAATCTCCACTTGTTAATATTTATAAAATGCATAACTGGGAACTTAGATTCTACAGATGCGGAACGATACGAAAAACTTATAACAGAGTTACAATTAAACCAAAATAAATTAAAAGATCAATAAAACAAATCACATTAATGCAAAAATCGATAGAGAATTTCAATGAACTTATATCAAATATATCCAGAAATCAAGATAACATTAGAACAAAAGTTATATATCTAGAAGATCAATTAAAAAGGATATTAAATAAAGATAATGAAGAAAAAAGATATTTTCAAATATGATTATTATAAATGAAATGTATTCAATTTTCCAAAATATATATGATATTTTTGAGAAAATAGAGGTAGCTATATCCCTTTGCAAAATAAATGTTTTACAATAACCTAATTAAAACTGATAGAGTTATTAAAAGAAGAAAATTATAAAAACAAAATAAACCAAGATATTTTCCCTTTGGAAATAAAGATAGAAAATATTCTAAACTTTAAAAAATTATAGAGATAAAAAGTTACTCAAAAGACTATACAATAACATTTATTATGGAAATTCCTTTAGTAGAACCAGACTTGTATTACTATTATAAGTTGTTACCTCTACCAATTCCAACAAACACCCTGATTTTTCATTGATAATTCCTTTCAAACCTTACCTCGCATTAAGTGATACGAAGTATGCATATATGGACGAAGAATGTCAAGAAATAATATTACAAGAATACCTCTGTAAGAAGACTCATCCCCTGAGACTTAAAGGAAATGAGCCATGTGAAGTAAAAACTTATTAATTTTGAGCAAGACACGAATAATTGTCATCCGTTCCGTATTCCAATAAAAAGTATTCAAATTGAGCGAATCTCTGATGGACGATGGATCATCACCACTCCTCACAAAACACTGGCAACACTTAAGTGCAACAACGAAAAAGAAAATGTACCCCTACATGGTACATATCTGATTGAAGCAACCCCATTCTGCGAGACACACTTAGAAAAATTCATCTTGAAGACACACCGAAGCAGCAACACACTGTTCGAAGAAATTCTACTGCCGAAGTTAAAGACCAACATGTCCTTTGCCGAAGAAGACATCATCTTTAACCCACCTGTATGGAACCTCAAATGATCAAGATGAAAATAATCAAGATATCACAAAAGAACTAGAAGAACAAAGATTTTCTCTCAGTTCGTTAATATTTCAGTGAAAAGACTTAGTATTTGGACAATATTAATCTACATTTTATTGTTTTTGCTTTCTTTATTTAATAATGTTTCTTAAAAATGCATTGTTAAGAACGATAATGACGATATAATAATATATGCTTATTTTAATTTAAAAAAAAAACTTATTTTATATTTTTTTACATTTATTCATTTTATTTACATTATATTCAATTATCTACAATATTTAATTGATTAATTATTTTATTACATTATTATTGATTTTAATTGTATAGCTTAAAATAATAATTAGGAAATCCAGGTGTATTTCAACCTCTACGAAGGGAGGAGTTATAATTGTATAATTAACACAACTCTTTTTTTTTTTTTTTTTGTGAAATCTTATACTTTATATTCATCAGCACCTATATTCATATTTAAGCCGCTGCACGACGCAGGAACAGGGCCCTTCAGAATCCATCAACGCGTATTGTACTCCAGCTTGTTTAATAAATGTTTTAAAACATCTCCACAAAACTTCAAAATTAACTAGAGCTAGGTTTTTATCATTGTTGGTTGATGATTTCATCACCATCATTTGACTATGTTTTCAAAAAATGAGAGGTTTTTATAACAAATAAATAAAATCTAAAGATTTTCTAAATGTTTTCCCTTAGTTCCCAACCCCATGGTTTTGTATCTGTATAAATACTAATAATTTAAAAAAAAAAAAAAAAAAAAATTATTTTTCAATATAGTATACACTTGATGTTTTTTGATTGAATTAAATGTTGTTCAGTTTCAAGAGTGGAATTATTAAAAAGACATTGAGAAAAATCGTCTGTAGTTATAGCCAAGTGAAGATGACTTTATACCCTTAGCTTTTTTACTAACATTTAAATTTTCACAACTATGTGCTTGAGTTCTAAAAGTGTACAGTTTAGATCGTAAACCAATAAATTTGGTCATTATTTTCCCATTATTTTTTTTTTTTTTTTTTTTGAATATTTTTTGTTTTTTTGTCGTATATTATACACATTATTAGGAGGATAGTCTGATGTATCAAATTTATGAATGTCTTGCTTAATTGAGTTATAAATATCGTTCACAAAAAAATGATAGATAAGAGAATCAGTATCAGTATATAATAACTTTGCTTTTTCTCCAAGTTTGTTTTGAATATAGTTATAATGAAAATCGTATATAAAAGTCTTGGATAAATCTAAATATCCCACATAAATTGGTTTATCAAATTTAACTTTTACACGTTTCATTTCGATTATTACCATATCCTGATCAAAAATGGTACAACTATGAAAATTTGGTTGCGAAATATAGTATTTAGCACCATACCTTTCTGACCATTTCGTTACAAGTTTAATATCTTTATATTTACAAACATTATCCATAGTCTTACCAAATACAGCATTAATCATCAGTTTGTAAAAGTTTTTTTTCAAATTCGTTTTTACTATTTTTTTGCAATGCTGTATTTAAATCAATGTAAGACTTTAACCAACAAGACTGTTTAAATTTCAAAACTCTAGTTTAAGATTAAAAATAACAAAAATGAATTTTTGTTATTTTTAATCTTAAACTAACGGCTTGCTGTAAATTACGATAGTGAATAATATATTTTCCTTATTATATAGAGTTGTAAGTAATTTAGGAATCTTTGAACCAGCAGGTATTCTCCTTTCCGGACATAATGGTAAATCTTTGTGATAATTAAAAAGTTCTTGAGGATAAGTAAGATCAACTTCAAAGATATAACCAACGTCACTATTTTTAGGAATATCTATTATATTTGGTAACTCATTTATATCTTGAACCCATTCAAATTGTGACTCGGGTAGAGGCATAGACATAGCTGCTCCATATAAATTATTAACGTCATAATACATAAGATATGAGGAAGGTTCATTGTCATCAAATTGGTTTTCCATATATTTATTATTCGCTTTTGCATATCGATTAGAACATTGTGAAACACCCCCTCGTATACCTTGTTCAATAAACATAATCATATCAATGTCAGTTAATAATTCTAGCTCTATATTACTAATTTTCAGCATAGACTCAAAAGCTAATCCAGGTGCGGTAAAAAAATTAAGAGCACATAATCCATAAGTCTTCATACATGTAATTCTAAAATTTTCAAAAATATCAGCAAGTAACAAAACATCGGTTTTTAAGTATAATTCTGCATATTCTTGTAGATTTTTAATGCTAAACGTGTTCCACACTAGTTTTGCATGCTGATAATCCTCTTCGGAAATATATGTTTTATTCAGAGAACTATAAAATTGATCTTTTGTACGCAATTCAATGTCTTGTAATTTTTCCCAATTATTTAGGTATTCATATAGAAAAACTCCTTTACGTGATAACAATTGGAACTCTGCATGCTTTGGATAATATTTTCGAATAATTTCTTTTTGATTATCTACTAGATAAGATGCTAATTTATCGAGACTACTAGCCATAAAACGAAACCAATCTAAAAATCTAAAATTAACTTTTGTGTTGTGAATGTATTTAGTAAAGGAAATGTATCGTTCTTTGTTTAATGGTAAAAGACTCATGTTTCCCTTAATCTGAGTAGCTATAGCCCTTATCAGGAAGTGACTATCCTAGCCTGAAAGATTATGAAAGATAACAGGTACTGTATGAGAATCTTGATAATTAATATTGCAGTGAGAATGAGCAAGATCTCGAAATTCACCCGTAAAATGTAAATAATCCTTAACAATTGCATCATTTTTATTAAACGGTTTCAAACAAATGTGACACTCTTTACAGCTTTGAATATATTGGTATTGTGCTTGTGTAAGAGGTTTCATTGGA